AGGTGCATACACGTTTAGGATCGCGTGTCTTCCTGGTGTACCCCTGGTAATATTCCTTCTATGAATTCTTTGCTGATACTAATATAGCTAGGCCAGCTTTCTTTTGACCAGTTTTAGCATAGCATACTTTTTTCCATCCTTAGTCTTCTAACCTACTTATCTCTTTATATTTAAAAAGGGTTTCTTGTAGAAAACATATGGCATATACAGTCATGTGCTGCATAATGATATTTCGGTCAACAATAAACCACATATACGACAGTGGTTCCCTAAGACTGGTACCATAGAGCCTAGGTGTGTAGTAGGCTATACCATCTAGGTTTGTGTAAGTGCACTCTGATGTTTGCATAACAACGAAATCGCCTAATGATGCATTTCTCAGACTGCATCCCTGTTGTTAAGCAACACATGACTGTAGTTGGATCTTCCTTTGTTATCCAATCTCACAATGTCTGTTTTAAGTGATGTGCTCAGAACATTTACATTTAATGTAATTATTGTTATCACTGGATTTGAACCCGCCATCACGTTTACTGTTTCCTATTTGTACCATGTGTTATTTGTTCAATTTTGGGGTTTTTTTGAAGAAGAAGATTGGCCCTGAGCTAACACCTGTTGCCAATCTTCCTCTTCCAACCCCACCAAAGCCCCAGGACATAGTTGCATATTCTAGTTCTAGGTCCGTCTAGTTCTTCTGTGTGGGATGCCACCACAGCATGGCTTGTGTAGGTCCGCACCTGGGATCTGAACTGGCGAACCCTGGGCCACCAAAGCAGAGCGTGCAAACCTTAACCACTACACCACCAGGCTGGCCCCATCCTGTCTGCTTTTGAATTGAGTAATTTTTATGATTCCATTTTATCTCCACTACTGGCTTATTAGTTATATCCCACTTAAATTTTTTAAACGGTTGCCCTAGGGTTTATAATATGTGTCTATAATTTTTCAGTCTACCTTCTAATAATATTAGGCCAATTCTTGTAGTGTATGACGGCATACTTCCAATTTCTCTCTGTCCTGTTAGAGCTCTTGTTACATTTTACTTTTATATATGCTATAAACTCACAAAACCTGGCTCCTATTTTTACTTTAGTGAGTTCTATTTTCAAGTGATTAATTATTTTAAATTTACCTCCATTTTAACCATTTTCAAAGTTCTTTCTTTTAGTAGATCCAAGTCTATTTTTGGTATGATATTCTTCCTGCCTGTAGAAATTCCTTTAATATTTCTTGTATGCACATCTTTTGGTGGTGAATCCTATTAGCCTTTCTTCACCTGAAGATGTCTTTATTTTGTATACTTTTTTGAAAGATTTTTTTCATTGTGCTTGGAATTTTTTTTCTTAATGAGGAATATTGGCCCTGAGCTAACATCTGTTGCCAATCTTCCTCTTTTTGCTTGAGGAAAATTGGCCCTGAGCTAACATCTGTGACAATCTTCCTCTATTTTATGTGGGGTGCTGTGACAGCATGGCTTGACAAGTGGTGGTAGGTCCATGCCTGGGATCCAAACCTGTGAACCCTGGGCCGCTGAAATGGAGTGTGGGAACTTAACCACTATGCCACTGGGCCAGTCCATCATTGTCTTGGAATTTTTTATTAACGGCATTTTGTTTCAGAACGTTAAAAGATGTCACTCCATTGTCTTCTGGCTTGCATGTTTTTTATCGTCTTTTTCTCATTTCTGTTCCCTGTAGGCATTGTATCCTTTTTCTCTGTCTGCCATCGATAGTTCCTCTGCACTGTTCATTTTCAGCTGTTTGGCAATAATGTGTGGTTTTTGTTTTTATTTTCGTTTTTTTAGATCCTGCTTAGGGATTCTGACGTTCTTGGATCTGGGTGAGGTCTTTTGTTATTTTTGGAAAATTCTCAGCCATTATCATTATTTGTCTTCTCATTTTCTCTCCTCTCCCCCTGGATTTCCAGTTATACATATATTAGACCATAAAAAGTTTCCTCACAGTTCTTGGATACTCTGTTTTCTTCACACTCTTTTTGTGTTTCAGTTTGTGATTCTGATTGACCTATATCCAAGTTCTCTGCCACTTTTCTCAGCTGTGTTGAGCCTGCTTATGAGTTCTCCAAAAGCATCGTTTGTGATAAATTTTATTTTCTAGCATTTCCCATTTGATTCTTTATTAATTTCCACTGAAACTCCCCCATCTGTTCACGTATATTGTCTGCCCTTTTCAAGAGAGCATTTAACACATCAATCGGTCATATAAAATTCTCTGATATTTCCAAAATATGGTCATTTCTAAGTGTGGTTTTATTCATTAGTCAGCTGTCTCTTGGCAGAGGGTTGTTTGTTCTTTTTTTTAATCTTGTAATTTTTTATTGAATGTCAGATAACATGTGTCAAACAGTGGAGAGTGAAATAAATAGCATTTTTGCCTGGAACCGAGCACACCTGTTCTGTTAAGATGTTGGAGTTGGGGGAGGGTGTTGAATCCACCTGGTCAGGAGTTGGATTCTGTTGTTACAATAGTTATCTTCAGGGCACCACTTCAAATTTTTCTAATGTTACCTTGTGCTTGGGGTCGGGGCTGAAGTGCTGGGGGGTGTTTCTCAATGTCTCTACTACACCCTCAGCTTCTGGCATCCCTGTGCACCTGTGCCACAGAAGGATTCTCTTGCACAGAAATGCAAGAAATGGATTCCACATTCTTGCTGTTTTCCCAATGCAGCCTGCTATTGCTTGTCACTAGGAGCAAGCTAGCCTATTTATGGGACCAGGGATGTTCTTAATTGCTTTGGTTCAGTCTCAGTCTTGAGTGAGGACTGTGGAGGTCAGAGATCTTGCGCATTCTGGGGAGCCAGGACTGCACAGCACTGAAAAGAGCAGCTCTCTTTCATCGGCTATAACCAAAAAAGCAGGTGATACTGCCACCTTGTGAGCAACCTGAAGACAAGGGTTCACACAAATGGACAGAGGCGAGAGAATTAAAGAAAAGCAATATAAAGTCCCCTTGACCAACTCAGACCCAAGTCTTACCCTGCCTGTTATCTTTTCATTTATGTGAACTGAGAAAAATTTTTGGTTTCAGCGACTCTGAATTACATTTTCTCTTACTTATAACTAAAAGCATCCTAACTGATAAAGCCACCATGAGCCCTCATGATCTTCCTTTGGAAGTGACGATAGTAAAGAAATACATTCGAAGTCCTGGATTTCTGATGATACTGTGTAACTTGAATTAGCACCCTGAAAGCCAGGCTAAGCGAGTGCCTTGGTCACCACCCATCCATCCAACAGGGGGAAGTCTAACAGAACAACTACGATGTGCTAGTTTATGGTACTCTTGAATTGCACTAGCACATTCTAGGCTGCAAGGGCTTTGAGACCTAAAGACATTTCACAGAACGATAAAGTTGCTGACACTTTACCTATATCCTCAAAAATCTAGAGAATTTTGAAAATTAACTTCAGGGGTTTTATTCTTTAATTTTGGCCATAATGCCATCTAGTGAAATGGAGCAATCGTATTATGAGTTTTTACCTCTAAGAGATAATATCTCAGCAGTTTATTACTTTAGTAAAATTGGTAAATGTTAATTGTACATTTTTTAAAACTTAAGTACACAAAAGAAAAAAGACTAAGCCAAAGTTTTCCAGAGAAAACTACTGTACACATGATGGTGAGCGATCTTTCATACATTATCTATTAAGGATGCATTTGAACACATAGGTATACACACGTTAACTTAGTATTAGGAAGGGACAGCCCACATTTTCACTAAACAATGTCTCCTTTCCTGTCATTTTAGGTCAATTCCATACTTTCTGTAGCTCCATATTATAGGAACATAGAGAAATTTATCCAAACTCTTATCTATTTCCAGTTGAAAAATACTGGACTACCTCGTAGTACACATGCTTTCTCACTGTTAAAATTGCTTTATCATAAATTATTATCCCATGATTTCCAGATGGCTAAGCACATCTTACATTTTCATGTATATTCTATCACTCTTCTCTAAGAAGGTTGTATTTTTCACTCCCACCAACAAAATGCATTGTTCTTTTTTATTTATTGGCAACAGATGTTGCCAATCTTCCTCTCTTTTTTTTTTCTCTCCTCAAAGCCCCAGTACATAGTTGCATATCCTAGTTGTAGGTCATTCTAGTTCTTCTGTGTGGGACGCCACCACAGCACGGCTTGACAAGCAGTATGTAGGTCCACATGCGGGACCCAAACCTGCGAACCCTGGGCTGCTGAAGTGGAGTATGCAAACTTAACCACTACACCACCAGGCCAGCCCCCTACGCATTGTTCTTGAAGATAAAGACAAGCAAGGATAAGAAAATCCTATTCTAATAATCAATACATTTGATAAAATGTTTAGAAAAAGTCAAGATTTGTCCTTTCCTTGTGTGAATGGGAGAAGTGTGGGGACAGAGAACTTGACAAAATTAAAGTCCTCTAAACTTGTCACACATCCTGTCTGAGGAGGTTTGACTTGAACAAAGGCTCTAACTCCCAGAAATCAGTTGGATCAAAAGGACTTTGATGGAAATAGGGAGACTAAAAAACCAAGCATTGTAATTTTCACATTTATTAAGAAAGTACTTCTCATTAGCAACCATTTCTGACTCTTTCCAAATATTACAGTAAAACTCTGCTTTACCACACAGGGCAGGGATAAAAATTCAATTATGAAAAACGCAGTCTTCCATTTTTGTAAAGTTAACCAAAAACATTGTTTATCAGTTTGTACTGTCATTTAAAGTGCACATACATGTACACAAACACACACACAAAGCTAAACTTAAACTGATAGTATACTGTATAGAAAGAGACCAAATGGTGAGAAATTCAGCTCATCCTGGCTTAAGAAGGGACAATGGATGGGAACCAATCCCAACAGGGTCACAACCAAATTCATGTAATTTCAGATAGCAATCTTGCTTGATGTTCGACATTTCAAATACTATTTATCTACTTGAAGTACTTATATTAAGGCTACTTGCAGGATTCCCACCCTCCCCCCCCCCCCGCCCCCGCACCCCAAACACATTTTTAAATGATTTTGGGCGGGAGGGAAATGAGCTTAATAAAATTTTCAAACATGATACCTTTACAGGCTTTTACTCATTTAGCACAAGTATGGAGCACCTACCCTGAGGTATGGAATGTCACGGTTCTGTAGACTTAGCAGTGAAGGAAGCCCCTGCTCTCGTTAAGTGTACGTTCTAGCGGACGTGGATGTGGGCAGGCTTGCGCGTCCTGACCATAGTCTTATCTTCTATGAGCCCTAGTGCAGTGACCAGCTAGAGTCACGTGCAATGACTGAGGTTCGAGTTCTGGCAGAACCCCTCTCGTTAGATGTCTCTGCTGTGTAGTCTCCTGACCATTGTGAACATCGAGGACGGGCAGAAACATGGCATTTTCATTAAAGAAATTATTTTTCTACTCTAAGAACTCTAGTGAATGGAAAATTTCAGCTCCCATTTGAGGACTTCACAGCGAAACGGAACAGCACTTCACAGAACTTCATGTCTGTAAGGGTTCTCAGATGAAGGATAGCCCTTGCCATCCTCTTCGCTTTTATAGAACTTAGCATCACTGTGCACTCTCTGATGAATCAGAAGACCTGAGCTCCAACGGAAACCCTTCCCACACGCATCGCATTTGTAGGGTTTCTCTCCTGTGTGGACTCTCTGATGGGCCTGAAGGTTTGATCTCTGGCTGAAGCCCTTTCCGCACACCTCACACTTGTAGGGTTTCTCTCCAGTGTGGACTCTGTGATGGGCTTGAAGACTGGAAAACCCACTGAACCCCTTCCCACATTGTTCACATTTATAGGGCCTCCCCTCTGCATGGACCCTCTGATGAGCTTGAAGGCGTGAACTCTCACTGAAGCCCTTTGTGCACACCTCACACTTGTAGGGTTTCCCTCCCGTGTGGACCCTCCGATGTGCTTCGAGGCGTGAACTCTGGCTGAAGCCCTTCCCACACATCTCACATTTGTATGGTTTCACTCTAGTGTGGACCCTCTGATGACCCTGAAGGTACGCCCTCTGACTGAAGCCCTTCCCACAGACCTCACATATGTAGGGTCTCTCTCCAGTGTGGACACTCTGATGACTCTGAAGGTACGATCTCTGGCTGAAGCTCTTCCCGCACTCGTCACACTGGTAGGGCTTCTCTCCTGTGTGGACTCTCTGATGGGCCAGAAGCGTTGAGGCCTTACTGAAGCCCTTCCCACATTCTCCACATTTATAGGGTTTCTCTCCAGTGTGGACTCTCTGATGAATTTGAAGATTAAAGCTCCAACTGAAGCCCTTCCCACACTCCTCACATTTGAATGGCTTTTCTCCAGTGTGGACTCTCTGGTGGCCCTGAAGGTGGGAACTCCGACTGAAGCCCTTGCCACACTCCTCACACTTGTAGGGTTTCTCTCCAGTGTGGACTCTCTGGTGGCCTTGAAGGTATGAATTGCGACTGAAGCCCTTCCCACACTCCTCACATTTGTAGGGTTTCTCTCCAGTGTGGACCCTCTGATGGGCTTGAAGGTATGAGCTCCGACTGAAGCCCTTATCACACTCTTCACATTTATAAGGTTTCTCTCCCGTGTGGACCCTCTGGTGAACAGTAAGAACTGATCTATGACTGAAGCCTTTACCACAGGCATTGCATTTGTACGGCTTCTCTCCACCGTGGACTCTCTGATGATCTTTAAGTTTTGAACTCCAATTGAAGCCATTCCTAAACTCCTTATAAGGTTTCTCTGCAAGGTGAATTTTCTGATGGCCTTGAAGATAGGCATTTTGGCTGAATTTGTTACCACAAACATAATATTTATATGGTTCTTCCCTGGTATGGACTATCTGAAGGTCCTGAAGACGTGAGGCCAGACTGAAGCCATTCCCACACTCCTCGGAATTATAGGGAATCTCTTCCATGTGAACTCTATGCTGAAGGTTAAGATTTGAGGCACAAATGAAACCCTTCTCACACTCCACACCTGTGTATAGTTTCTCTTCAGCGTGCATTCTCTGATGGACTTGAAGACAGGAACTCTCATTAAAGACAGTCCCATTCTCCTCATATTCGTGGGGTTCCTCCCCAGTATGGACCCTAAAAATACTCTTAAGGTCTAAGCTATGACTGAAGGCTTTCTCATAAACGGTGCGTCTGTAGGATGTCTCTCCTGTGTGAAGTTCGTAAGTGTCGAGAGGCGAGCACTGACTGAAGTCCTCACCATATTCACATTTACATGGCTTCTCCTCTGTATGGACTCTCCGATGGGAGTGGAGATGCGAACTCTCAGAGACACAGCCATCTCCTCTAGGAACACTTTGATGAATACGAAGGACTGAACTATAACTACAGCCCTTTCCACGTGGACTGTATGTGTGGGGCTTCCCTTCTGAGGGGAACTGCTGATGGATTTCAGAGCTGGCGTCATCACTGAAGGATTCTCTGTACTCATTAGGGGGATAGGGTTTTTGCCCTGTTTGAAGAAAGTGTTGATTGCGCAATGAAACCTTCATGATGTCTTCTCCACAGTCGTGGCAGCTGTAGTTTTTCTCTGTTCGGTGTAGTCTCAGATTATCATTGTAATGTGACATCCAACTGACGCTGTCACACTTACAGAAATTATTTTTCCTGGAAATTTGCTGACATCTACACTGATAATTACATGACTCTGTCAGATATGTTTTCCTCCAAGAATGCTGGGCTCTCCAAGATGGAAAGTCTTGGTTTGCTATGTAAGTGGAACCATCCTCTGCATGAGTCAATACATAGTTCTCATCTTCAGGAATCTGAATGGGTATTTCTGCCCAAACCTGGCAGGCGGAATCACCTTGTTTTGGCACCTGAGAAATATTCCCTTGAAAATTGTTCATGGAATCTTGACACCTCATTAACCCGCCTGCACCTTGCTGCCAGTTCTGCCAGGAGGAAAGCTCTTTGGGGGAAGGGCAGCTTAATCCCACTTCTCGAATACTCTCCATATGATGTTCATTCTTGGTTCCTATAAGGATAAAGAGAATTTAGACATATGTGCAAGTGAAGGCTTTTATTCGGAGACTTCATGATTTTGCACTTAGGTCATGACATAAAACTTCAATGAACTAGAGGAAGATTTATGTTACTATTTCTAAGAGTACTTAGAAATGGCTCTTCTTTGGCTACACCAGGAATATTAGTTGGCTCCACATAATTCAGGCTATCTATATGCCTTAAAATCAGGGCTTTGCAACACAACCTGGACATCAAACATGATGGCCCTGTTCAAAGGGCCTAGTGAAACCACACACAGGTTATCACAGGTTCATCATAGGTTGCCTGGAGATCCCAAAAATAAAACAAAAGGGGATAGTCTCAAATTGGAAAGAACATAATTTCAAGTGGACAAATGCTTTATGTCCTGGTAGCTTTTCTTTTTTCTCCAGCACATGGGCATCGTAATGTTTGTTTGTTTGTTTGTTTGTAAGGAGATTGTGTGTAAACACTAGGCAGACAAAGGTAAACACAGACATTTAATCTATGGTTGAGCCTATCTCTAAGGAGCTATTTATCTTCATGAGAATAAGAAACTCTTCCAAGTTACTGTAAGCCGTTATCAGTTTAAACTCTTTTCGAAAGATATTTCGGGGGCTGGCCCTGCGGCCAAGTGGTTAAGTTCACGCACTCTGCTCCGGTGGCCCAGGGTTTCACTAGTTTGGATCCTGGGTGCGGACATGGCACCACTCATCAGGCCATGCTGAGGTGGCGTCCCACATGCCACAACTAGAAGGACCCACAACTAAAAATATACAACTATGTACTGGGGGGATTAGGGGAGAAAAAGCAGGGGGGGAAAAAAAGGAAGATTGGCAACAGTTGTTAGCTCAGGTGCCAATCTTTAAAAACAACAAAAAAGGATATTTCACAATTATCAAGGGCCCTGGTGCAGGTCAGAACGTGAAACACTGTGACAGAATTCAACTCCAAAGACAGAAGAAAAACATGGCGGCTGAGGGAGGCAAGCACAGCCAACGTTCCCGGCACCTATAGGCGTCCTTTGAGGCAACTCATTAAACAAACCAAACTCAGTGAACACTGACTTTGGCTTGCCTCATTTGACTGGAAAATTACTTTCCTGTTCAGGGAATTTGAGGCAACAGAAGAGCTGAAGACAGACATGTCTGGGTGGAAATGGCTTGTCACTTAGCCACTAAAGCTCCGATTCTAAGCAGACAGCAGAGCCTCATATCCTGGGGAGCAGCATCCTCCCTGAGGACACCTGGTTCAACAGGGTTGAAGAAATGACGTATGAGCTTCCGACACCTGGTGGTACATTAATCCTCTACAGCATCCAGAATAGACAGCAGTAAAGGAGGATTTGTTTCCGTAACATGAATATAATCCTCAACAGGATAATTCTTCCTTACCTAATTGTGTTTGTCTCTCCACGCTGGAATGTGTCAGTCACAAGGACAAGGACTCTGTTTTGCGCACTGCATTACCCTCACTGCCTAGAACATTCCTAGCCAAGAGGAGCTGCACACTGAGCATGTAACGAGCAGACCACAGGGAGTCACTCTCACTTACAAGACCAGGAGGGCGTGTACGTGTGTGCTATTTTTCACGGGAAGGGAACTGGTGATGGCAATTCTGCTGCGAAGCTGGAAGGCCATGTGAGAGGTGGGGCTCTACTCAGGGTGTCACCTGCTGATGAGAAAGGCAAAGCTCACAGGAATCTCTTGTGGATTGTGCCTTTCCAATTTTTGAAATAACCTTTAAAATAGTGTATTTTTTCTTGTATAGAATCTTCCCCGTAGCCCCACCCTATCGCCAATTTAAAAAAAAAAAAAAAAAGGGAAAAATAAAAGGCCACACTGATGACTGTGTGGCACTAGGCCCTGGGGCCATGCATGGACTGCAGGTGACACTTCATGGCATATCCATATGCACTCATCCCGGTGCTGCAAACAACGCTTAGAGATGACTCTGGTTTCTCAAAAGCAATGCTTTCAGTGATCACGTTAATATTTCATTACCTAAAGCTGAAATGAAGGGACATATTATAAGAGGCACGTCAGATAAAGTAAACAGCTTATATGTGAGAAGTTCGGGCTTCCAGCTAGAGTTAATCACAATGCTTATAGGGTTGTTTAGGCATCATCAAAACACTGACTACACATCCATAAAGATACAGTTTAATGTGTCACATCTTTGGGACGGATGTGGTGGCTTAAGGACATGAAAGCAGCTTGCTAGTCAAAGCCCAGTTTCTTACAAAGCAACTGTTTCAAGACAAATTTGTACATAATTTATGACATAAGAATCTCTCAAATACATAGGAGATTCAAGTTTCTTTCTGACCAGTGGTTTACTGTCAGAAGGAGAGAAGAAGAAGAAAAAAGGTCATTTCGCTTAGTTTCAGCCTCTTGTGGAAAAAGATCACACATTTAACAACATTAACTTTAATTTCCTTTAGTCAACAGTGCATACTGAAACATCTTATTTGTCATTTCTTTTCCATATCTCAAATTTAAGTTCTATTTTAATATCAATGGTAGAGCGCTGATGAGAAATTGCGCTGTCAAATTTATAAGGGAACATTACTGATGGAGAAAATAAGCAGTGCAAAGAAAGACCTCACTTGAAGTGACGAGGATGAGAATTTGCTTCATCTTCTTAGTAATCGTGCTTTAGAGTTTGAGAAAGTCAAGCATTCCAGCATCTACATCAATTAATCAATAACAAAGATGTTATACTTATCATAAGTACCGAATAATTCCTTTCACAGTTAGCCATAATGAATGAAGAGGAAAAAAAAACTCCGTTTATTTTTCTTTTTCTCTTCTCCTTCAACAGAAGCTACTCAAGAATATCAACTCAGGCAAATCAGACTGACAATACCCTGCATCCTTACTACACTTTTAGATAGTAAGGAGAAACTAAGGCATCTTCTGGACAGTAGACGATACAGTAAGGACAACATTTTGATTACAGACTAACGCTTGAGCGCTCTGCTGGCCACTCTCTCCACCACACCTGAGGTTCGCCTCTCTCTAACAGAGTATATTTAACCTTTAAAGGACCTCCCATCTGCCTCTGCTTCTTTTCCTCACAACAGAATGAGTTCTGTCTTTCTGTTTTGGAAGGTTATTAATTGTTGATTCAATTTCTTTAACAGCTATAGGCCCATTCAGATTGTCTATTTCTTCTCGTGTGAGTTTTGGCAAATTGTGTCTTTCAAGGAATCGGTCCATTTCATCTAGGTTATCCCATTTGTGGGCAAGGACATTGCTCATAGTATTCCCTTATTGTCCTTTTAATGCCCATAGGGTCTGTAGTCATGTCCCCTCTTTCATTCCTGATATGAGTGACTTATGTCCTCTCTCTTTTTTCTTAGTTAGCCTGGCTAGAAGCTTATCAATTTTACTCATCTTTCCAAAGAACTAGCTTTTGGTTTCATTGATTTTTCTCTATTGATTTCCTATTTTCAATCTTAATGATTTCTATTCCAATTCTTACTTTCTTCTACTTTGGCTTTAATTTGCTTCTCTTTTTCTAGTTTTCTGAGGTGGAAGCTTCAATGATTGATTTTGGATCTTTCTTCTTTTCTAACATATGCATTCAATGCTATAAATTTTCCTCTAAGCACCGCTTTCACTGCATCCCACATATTTTGATAAGTTGTGTTGTCATTTTCATTTAGTTCAAAATATTTCTAAATTTCTCTTGAGACTTCTTTTTTAACCCATGGGTTAGAAGTGTGTTGTTTAATCTCCATGTATTTTGAAATTTTCCAGTTCCCTTTAAAATTATAGCATAAAATCAGCCAGCCTATCACAGACTGAGATCAGATGTCAAACCACAACAATGATCAAAAAAGTCACCTAAAAATTATAGGAAAACAGTGATTACACATATGTGTAATTTCAAAAACAGATTTGTTGTAGTTTATTAGCAACACGCCATTTTGCCCATTTGTTCTTTATGTCGGCAGTTAGTTAATGCAAATGTAGTCAGTTTCCCATGAAAAAGGAAAGTCTGGCAAGGAATCGTAACGCTAGATCCACATCTGTTTGGCACATGTACGATATCACAAAATATTTACGAAAGCTGGCATTAAAACCTAAGGTTTAGTTAAGGCTAACATATAAAGTTACAGCACAGTTGCAGCAACTCTTAACACAGTGACGTTTTATATTCTAGTTAAGCCATAAAAGAATTAAAATTATCGAAGGAACCAGCTGAGAGCAGCTGCCCTGAGACCCGCTGACAGGAACGGCAAGTTCTCTGTTCGGTGCCGGATAATTATTCCCTAAAGGAAGCAGAATGAAATGTGAGGAATTCTCGGGGACTGCCTCTTAGAAAAACACCCACTTCTCGGCTGTTGTCTTTTTCACTGTGGGGAGTGACAGTCAACTTGGGGCAGAGAAGGAGGTTAGAAGAAACAACATCTGTGAGAGATCGTTTAAAGATAACGCTGGAGAAACCTGGCCCACCAAGAGACTCATGGCATTAAAAAAAAAATGGATGAGTGCTCTGAAACTAGGAAAGCTTCAGTGCTGAAAGAGCTTAATACACACTCTGGAAATACTCTGGTCTTAACTAAACGCAAAGTTCCTCTTCTGGGTTTCTGAAAGGTGCCCAAATGGTGGTCAGCCTCAGAGCCATCAGGACCAGATGAACTGTGCCATGGTGGGGAGTGTGTGTGCGTGTGCGCGTGTGTGAGTGCCCACGTTGCTCCTGGTAATGAGCATGTGGATGTTTTTCTCTAGTAGCTGAGAGACATAAAAATCTCACAATACACCTCCCGGTGGATTTGGAGTCTCAGGTCATGACCTTGCCATCTGCTCTAGCGTCTGTCATCCTGTCCCCAGACTTTCTAAGAGCCTGGACACTAGACAGAAATATCCACAGGGAAAGACAGGTATGCTTCTTCAGAAAGAAGAAATCTTGGGCAACAAGGATTTGCTAACAAAAACATGAAAGTGCATCCCTGGTGAGGGGGAGCACTCTCTCTCTGGGGAGGCAGAGTGGCAGGTTGCCAAAGGCTGTCCCGTGTGCTCACTGAGGCACAGAGCTCTGCTTTCTAGTCTCTTCCTGTGGAGCAAATCAAAACTGCCAAATACTTTCCTGCAAAGTTGAGTGGATTCAGATCTAGATGGAACCAGCAAATTACCAAAAGGAAACAGAAGAAAGAGCAAGCAATAAGGTGCTCGTTGAGAGATGGAGACTATTAAAAGTAGGGATCTCCTGGTTAATGCCGTGGATGGTTTTATAGAATCAGAGATGACATTGGAAAAGAAAAACAGAAACAATTTGCTATGGGGGAAAAAAGAAAAGCCCCGAAGCCCTTGGTTTGCAGAGCAATGATGTTTTCACCGGTGTAGAGATGCTGGCCTGGCCGTATGGACCAGAAACGTCTCTTTCCATCCCTGCTGGGAGTTTCAGACTGCAGCAGTGGCAACCAGCAGGGTTGAGGTCAAGGATCAACTTTTCAGAGCCCCTGGGGACCACGATGCCTCATGTCAGCAACAGCCACAGGTGACTCTAACAGGTTGCCAACCCTGCACTTCTGGTGGAATTAACCAGGCAATTCCATGAAAACAGATTTTGTTTGCTTATGTGGATTGACAAGTTGACTTTATGTAGACATGGATTACAAATCATCTGTTTGACTATAAGTACAACTATTTTTCTTATCACTTTCCAAATAGAAGAGAAAATTTAATGGCTGGCATGGAAAGTTGTACTTTCTTTTTTCTTTTTTTTTGCTGAGGAAGATTCACCCTGAGTTTACCTCTGTGCTAATCTTTCTCTATTTTGTATGTGGGTTACTGCCATCACATGGCTGCCAATGAGTGGCATAGGTCCACACCTGGGAACTACGCCTGAGCACTGAACTTAACCACTAGGCCACAGGGCCAGCCCATGGGAAGGCTGTACTTTTGAAAACAGATTATGGAATATTGTCGTTGTATGTAGGAATTTGGAACGTACAGCCTATAATACTAATGGTTCACCACCATTAGTGAGGTTTGAAATCAACTTAGTAGATCGTGACATGCAATTAAAAAAAGAAGCTACAAAGGGGCTGGCCTGGTGACGTAGTGGTCAAGTTCACGCACTCTACTTCGGTGGCCTGGGGTTCCCAGTTTGGATCCCAGGAGCGGACCTACACACCGCTCATCAAGCCATGCTGTGGCAGTGTCCCACATACAAAATAGAGGAAGATTGGCATGGATGTTAGCTCAGGGCCAGTCTTCCTCACACACACAAAAATAAAATAAAATAATTTGAAAAAGGACAGACAATATCAGAGGTGCATTGCGTGTCAGATATCACTGCATGGAATGTTTCAGATGTGCATACATCTGATATGTAAACATACATAGGTCTGTAAGGTTACATTACATACTGAGGGTCGTGCCCCAAATAGTACGAAAACCACCAGTCTAAATAGCTGAGGAAGGCATAAAATTCATACCAATCACAACGTTCAAACACAAAGTTCATTTATAGAAACTTGGAAAAATACCAGTAGGTAGGTTTGCATCTCTTGGTTTCACGCCTACAAGAAGGTTCAAAATAGAAGGGGCCAATCTCCACTTGAAAAATATCCTTTCTCTCCCTCAGGATGTATGAGACTGCAACTTCCTCATTTCTAGGTTCTAACCTTCACCAGTTGAAGATTATACACTAGATCTTATTGATACCCATTAATACACTTGATCTTAATACACTCTCGTTTTTGGAAAGGGAATAAAAACAAAGATGCTACTCTTCTTAACTCTTGTTTCTCTGACCTTGACTCTTCCTTGCCTGGCATGGAAAAGGGCACGTAGGGAATCTGTGTGGATGCTGACTTTGGAAGAGATGGATGGGCTGCAACTTGGGAAATCCTGCGAGGAAATGGATAGTTTAGAAGCCATTACTTGTTGACAACTTTCTCTTTCCTAGTGTAAATGGAAACAGAGGTATTTCTTCTACAGCAGCTCTGCCAAGAGAGTGGTTGTAAGAATCCTTATTTTTTAAAATTTATTTTATTATTTTATTTTTTTGAGGGAGATTAGCCCTGAGCTAACTACTGCCAATCCTCCTTTTTTTGCTGAGGAAGACTGGTCCTGAGCTAACATCCATGCCCATCTTCCTCTACTTTACATGTGGGACGCCTACCACAGTGTGGCGTGCCACGCGGTGCCATGTCCACACCCGGGATCTGAACCGGCGAACCCAGGGTCGCTGAAGCAGAATGTGTGAACTTAACCACTGCACCACTGGGCCAGCCCGTAAAGATCCTGAATTTGAAAATGTTTCTTTGCCCAAGTCAATTAAGTCAGCCCCCATAGGCTGCAGGAAAGCCCATGGGGAATAACCGCGTCTCTTGGTCACAAGTCCAGTTAAAGCTCAGTAAGGAATGGCTTTCCACTTTGAATCTCTGAGTCAACAGGTAATTATGGCAGAGAAATAAAATCACTAGTACCCAAGGACATTTGCATTGGGGGTTTTACTGCTGAACTTTCCGTATTAGTTTAAAAAAAAAAAAAGGTAAAGAAATAAGTTAATGCCCATCAATTGGAGAATAGCTAAATGATACATGCTATAGCCACATGTTGGAATATTATGCAGCCATGATAAAAAAATTTTTTAGAAGAGTTGTAATTTGAACTGGGAGGGATTTCCCCAAAGTATCATGAAGAAGAAAAATTGGTATATTAAAAATAAGAACGTATATTATCAAATTTTTGCATTAATGAAAGGTATATAAACATGTTAGGTATATAAGCATGTAACAAAACAAGAAGATATTTTAAAATCTGACACCTGTTCCTACAGATGCTATAATGCAGGGGGACTGGCGCACTATGGGCCTAGGCCCGTTTTTGTTCAGCCCCGGAGCTAAGGATAGTTTTTACACATTTCCTTAAACGGTGTAAAAAAAAACAAAACAAAGAATGTGACAGAGACCACATGTGGCGGGCAAAGCCTACAATATTTACTACTACTTTAGAGAAAAAGTTTGCTGACCCCTGCTCTAAAGACTGTATTGTGTGATGTATGATCCTGAATCTTAACTGAGAGGGCAACAAAAAATTATAGAAGTGAAATAATTTGTTCTGAAATTTTCTATTGACTCTTTTTCCTACCCAGGAGCATCCTTATCTACACAGATGTGACAGTGGCTTTTGATGTCAGAGTCTCAAGGACTCAAGAAACATTACCGAAGTGTTTAGACTCACGTAAATGTCCAACCTGAAAATTCTCCTTCAAAACTGTAGCTGGGTCAAGGTTTAGGTGTTGGAGGATGGGGAGGGGAGAGGAGAGGCTAGAATGGGCAGATACAGAACTGGGAATAGAAATGAGAAAATTAACACAAGAGTGTCTCACTTGAAATTGCTGCATGGGAATGGTCAATTATGCTGGCACTGATCAATTCTGATACTTACCCTAGTTGATTGGCTTTTTTTTTTTTTTTTTTGGTGAGGAAGATTGGCCCTGAGCTAACATCTATTGCCAATCTTCCCTCCCTTTTTTCTTGTCTCCCCAAAGCCCCAGTACATAGTTGCATATCCTAATTTTAAGTCCTTCTAATTCTTCTATGTGGGATAACGCCACAGTGTGGCTTGATGAGTGGTGTATAGGGTTCGAACCAGTGAACCCTGGGCCACTGAAGCGGAGCACCCGAACTGAACCACTATGCCACCGGGCTGGCCCCCTGATTGGCTATTCTTCTTCTTTTAGTAATAATGGCTACCTGTCTATGAATCCTCAAGGACACCTAAACAGTCAAGAATCAGGACAGGCATTCATCAGATGACAAACACCACTGTGGAGTATCCTTTGATTACACGGATTTATTCTACATCTATTAGCTGTCTGAAGGAGGACTGGCAACAACGAACACCAGGCATCTATTAACCAATTCATTCACTCGAGGCAGAGAGAAAAGCAAGCAGGTCTGAAGCAGGAGCATAAATGACAGGTCTGACGGGCAGCAACGAGGCAGTGCGGCTGGAACAGAATAAATGAGCAAAAATAAAAAACAGCTAAGAATAAGGAAAGCTAGAGGGGCTTGAGGAGACAGACCCCTTAGGGCCTAAGAGGCCAGCCTACGTACTTCCGATTTTACTGTGTGTGAAACAGGAAGGGCTGGGAAAGCTGGGACAGAGACGCCACCTGCTCTGACCCGTGCTTCAGGAGGGCCTCCTGGCTGCTAGGTCACTGCTACACGCTTCTCACCTGAACACCCATCTCTCCAGGTTTCTGTCTCCATCATCGAAAGCTTTTCTTCTCTCTCCAACTGGAATATGAGCTCTGGTTTGAAGGGCTGATTCCCTGTAAAAAAAACAGGGAGAGCAGAAGTTTTAAATTCTGACAAAGTCCAACTTTTCTTTTTCTTTTATGAATCATGCTTTCGGTGTGACATCTAAGAACTCTTTGCCTAACCCAACATCACGAAGATTTTTCCTATGTTTCCTTCTACAAGTTTCTACACTTATATCTCACACTCGATCTCTTATCCATTTTGAGTCCATTTTTCGTGAGGTTTGAGGGAGGCATTCGATGCCTCCTGGGGTCCGGTGTCTCAGCACCATCTGTTGAACAGTCTTCCTTCTCACTGAGTCGCCCTGGCCCCTGTGACATGTCTGAAATAGTTTCAGAATTGCTTCTCCCCTGTGACAACCATAAACACACCCACCAAAAAGTGTTCAGGATTGCACTTCATTCTCCCACCCCCGCCGACGGCACCTCAAACTAAGGGTACATCGACACACACTGTGCTCCTGAGCTCCTCCCGGGAGTCCTGTGTTTGCTCTCTTCCATGTGGTTACAGTATTCACGTCGATTATAATTCACTCCTTCGCTGCAGCTTTCTTTGAGTTTTAGATTATCAGCCCTCTGCATTCTTACTGGATTGAATTTTTATAATGTGTTGAACGAACGTATTCTCAAAAGTCCAAACTAGACTAAAGGTGTCCTGGGACTAGCGTCACTCTCTTGCACATCCTTCCCACACTGTCACCTCCCACCCACTGTGAGAAAGTAACTTCGTGATTTTCTGATTAACCCTTCTAGTCTTTCTTCTTCTAAGGACAAGCAGATACACATATATTGAGTTATTTTCCCCTCTTTCTTGCACAAATTGCAGTATACTATTAATGCTCGTTGTCACCTTGCCATCTTTAGGGAAACTTCCTAGAGGTGAACTGCTGGCAAAGGGTAAATGCACCGTTTTGTGAGATACAGGCAACCTCCCCTCCCGAAGGGCTGTATCATTCTGCATTCCTACTTTCAATGCTGGAAAGTGCCTTATTCCCCACAGCTTGGCCCAAAAAAGTAGTGTTCAGTTTTTAAATTTTTGCCAATCTCATGGGTGAGAAATGGTCTTTCAGTATAATTTTAGTTAACATCTTATTTTGAATGAAACTGAACATCTATTCATGTGTATATGTGAATATATTTATATTCACATATAAATATGTACTTATATGTGCATGTATGTATATGAACGTATGTGTGTATCCACATACATGCACGCACACACACCTGCCTCCTAGCTCTGTCCTGAGACAAGAAACAGATATCACAGTGGCAATGACAATACTTAGCATCCAGACCTTGGTGTGAATGCCGCTCCCCAGTAAAAGGAATGGATGATTCCAGAGCTGGGTCCAAGTAAAAGGTGAGCACAGAACATCATGCTTTGCCATAAGTGAGGAAGTGCTCAAAAGAACGCTGGGGGCACGTCACAGGCACAGGAGTCAGTCAAAGGGGCCAGATTCAGGATAACTTTAGCACCAAAATAATTACAGTAGTAAATTATAAACTATTTTTAAAAACAATTCACAAGTCCCTACAAACTATCCTGAGAAGGAGTGGATAAGGCAAGAATCAGCGTTGGTTGCTACATCTAGCAGAATATCTGTGTGTTCTGAAAGTGTCGCCCTATGACGGCAAGAGGAAAATGGCAGTCATTTCATAATGGAGAAACTGGACAACACCTTGACTGGGTGACCAAAGTTAACATCACCCATGAGGGACAGACGGTGTGCCACTAGATGTGACATCTCAAAAGGACACACCATTACCTGCTGGAAGGAAGGTTCCAGCGTAACGGATCATCTGAATCTAATTATGAGGAAATACTAGGAATGTTCTATGAAAAACGGGGGAGGGGCTAAGACTACTCTTCAAAAATGTCACTGTCTTAAAAGAGAAAGACGCTGTGGAAGAGTTCCCAATTAAAGGAAGTTAAAGAGACATGACAGCTGGACTAGACTACACTAGACCTTGCCCTGGAGGGAGGAACATACGCTTGAAGGAATCTAATTGGCTCTCTTCACAAAATTAGAGCATAAATGACAGATTGGATGAAAGCGTTCTACCTGCACTGGGGATATGTGAGAGCACGTTCCTATTCCTACAAAATGCACTGTTCAGCAAAGAATTAGCCTGGCCCAAGGAGAGGTCGCTCTGGCCCCCCTGTCCTGGCACGTGATCGCAAAGCCCCTGGAATGTTGGCCTCATAAGAGTCTTTTTGTGCCTGAGTCCCGGGGCCACACCAGACAGCTTAACAATGTGAGTTATGCGGGGGGCGGGTGCTTTGGACCATGTGCTATCGGTTTGATTTTCAGGAGGGCTGGAAACTAAGGTCAGCCACACAGGTGTCCAACCACATCCACATGACTGAGCCCCAGTAAAGCTCTGGACAGGGGCCAGCCCAGTGGCATAGCAGTTAAGTTCGCATGCTCTGCTTGAGTGGCCTGGAGTCCACGAGTTTGGATCCCAGGCGCAGACCTACACACCAACATCAAGCCATGCTGTGGTGGCGTCCCACATACAAAACAGAGGAAGCCTGCACAGATGTTAGCTCAGGGCCAATCTTCCTCACCAAAAGAAAAGCTCTGGAAACCAAGGCTTGGGTTGTAATACTCCATGTGTACTGTCACACATCTCTGCTGGGAAGAGTGAGAGCTGTTCAGAACTCCACTGGGAGAGTGCAACTGGAAGTCTGCGCTGGAAACTCTCCTGACTCTGCCCCAGGCGCCTCTTCCCTTGGATGATGTTAATCTGTATCCTTTCCATGTAATACACTGTAACCGGGAGGATAACAGCTTTCAGTGAGCTCTGAGACTCCTTCTAGCAAGTTATCAAGCCTGAGGTCCGTCTTGGGGACCCCCGAACTTGCAAAAAGCGTCAGAGTGAGGATAGTCTTAGGGACCCCTGAACTCTGCATATACACTGAGAGACAAAGGGTTGTGGTGTATGTAAATTACCTGCAAATGGTTCGGAAAAAAAATACTATGAATATACATACGTGTTCATATATATATATATGTGTGTATATATAGACACACACACAAGTATATATGGAGAGAGAAAGAACATGAGCATAAATGATAAAGCAAATGGGGTAAAATGTCACTATAGGTGAATCAAGGTAAAAGCTCCATGGGCGTTCTTGTTCTGTATTTTTATTTTCATAAACTTTCTGTAAGTTTAGAGTCATTTACAAATACATCTTTAAAGCAAAAAATAAAATACCTCCAAAAATCGAGTTAACAACAGTCACAGTTACTGGCACCCTAAAAACAAAGAAGCTGGAGTGACCCACTCAATGGATCTGACGACAAACCAGTGGGGCAGGACCACAATGTGCCCATTTATAGTTCAAGGACAGATTTTCATCTGGACGGAAACATCAGGAGCATCTCGTCTGTGTTGCACAGGGATTATTAAGGTCTCTTTAGTGCCCAAGCTCAGAGAATGATTTTGGGAGTCCCAGGGCTTCCGACAACCGAGCACACAGACACCCCGGGAGGCTGACACTGAGCACAGAGGGCGCCTGTCCTCACCCACAGAGAGCAGGTTCCAGAAGTTCTCCAGCATCACGTCCCGGTACAGCTGCCTCTGGGTGGCATCCAGCAGCCCCAGCTCCTCCTCCGTGAAGGCCACAGCCACGTCCTCGAAGGTCACCGGCTCCTGCAACACCAAGCACACGGAGACTCTGGTTATGGAAGAGGGGCGGTCCTGGGACAGCGTAAAGGATGGGACGTTCCTCTGGATTCTAAGGCGCCCGAGTCAGATTCAAGGAACTGCCTTCTGCTTGCCTTCACACTGCTAATTCCACCCACCCACAGGGCGGCAGGAACAGAAATGCTTGTGCCTTCAATGGCTGCCTTCCGTTAGCACGCCCACAGCTAAGTCCCAGAGCTCTGCTGCATCACGGACTGCCAATATTTTTTAATCATTAACAACGTCATTTACCCCAGAAAAGCTTTACTTCCAACAGTGTGGGATGGAGTCTGTGTCCCGTTTCACACACACATCCCACTTGTTTGATTTGTCAAATGTACAGGCTATCGGTCCCCCTTGCTGTTGAAGTACGTGCATCACCGTCCGTGCCCCATCTGGACTGCGGCGTCTGTGGTGGCCTGGTCTGGGCACAGCTCGGAGCCTGGCTGCCCGTGTTCACGTTGGAACGCTCTGCCCCAGGCTGGCTGTGTGACCTTGGACAAGTCCCTCACCCTGTCCTCATGTGCATGCTGATGCCTCTACCATAGGGTACCAGTCAGAAAATGAGTGACTATACGTAAAGTACTGAGGAACGGTGCCTGCAGCACAGTAAGTACCTGATGAGTGACAGCTGCTATTATGATTATCATCATCATCCTCTCTGTCATCCTACTTCAGGGCTGCACAGTAATTCGAGGAACTGATGACCTAGACTATAGTGAGCTGATCCAGATAATGCACGCTTACTTAGTTTATCTATTACAAACAATGTTGCAAAAAAAATCCTTTCACATTGACCTTAGTCCCTGGAACTCGGCTGATTATCTTCCTAAAATAACTTCCAAAGAGTAGAAAAGGAAATGTGGAAGAATAATAAACTTTAAAGTTTTTGAAATCATAATGGCAGGTGTTTCCTCCAAAAAAAATTTCCAACTTCTTCTTCCAAGAAAGCATAACCCCCTAAACCTCTATACCTGGCCAACACTGGACACGAATACTTTTTTTTTTCCTGAGGAAGATTAGCCCTGAGCTAACATCTGCCACCAATCCTCCTCTTTTTGCTATGGAAGACTGGTCCTGAGCTAACATCCATTCCCATCTTCCTCCACTATATGTGGGATGCCTGCCACAGCATGGCTTGCCAAGCGGTGCCGTGTCCGCACCCGGGATCCGAACTGATGAACCCCGGGCCACTGAAACAAAACGTGCAAACTTAACCGCTGCGCCACTCGGCCAGCCCCTGGACATGAATAGTTTTTTTTAAATCTTTGATAATTTCAGAAGTAAATTTTGGAAGCAAAAGCCAGTTATTTAGAAAAACTTTCACAGCTGATTAGTAATGATCACTCTTCATATTGGCTGGTCACCTCTACTTCCTGTTTTATAATAATATTCATTTGGGGGACATTCGGGCCTTTTCTTCCACGTATGCGGTAAATATTTTTCATTCCCCTTTGCTGTTTATCTTGTAACTTTTGGCTGCAGGGAAATCTAAATTTTCATATGAAGGCTGTGCAACATTGCACTTGTTCTGGCTGGAGCTCCAAACATCACGCCTCAGGCCCTGGTCTGTGAACGACAACCCTGGCTTGGAGTGCAGTCTTTCTGCCTCTCTCCCATCCTCCTGATCCAGAAGGCAAAGGCTGTGGAGTCGGCAGGACGCTTGTCTTCTATAGGAACCTGAGTAGGACTTGAACTTACAGGAACCACTCATCTTCATGTGATGATTCTAAATTCCTTCTGAGCAGCGAGAAAAGTGACAGATAGAAAGTGCCTGCTTGTCTGGGAGCAGGACTAAAATCTTTAAATTAAGTACCTGTATTGTTTTGTTTTGTTTTGCTTTTTGCTGAGCAAGACTGGCCCTGAGCTAACATCTGTGCCAATCTTCCTCTCTTTTGTATGTGGGACGCCACCACAGCATGGCTTGACGAGCAGTATGTAGGTCCACACCTGGGATCTGAACCCATGAACCCCGGGCGGCCGAAGCAGTGCATGCGAACTTAACCACTATGCCACCAGGCTGGCCCCATTAATAAAATAAATTAATACATGAAGAGTGAAACACACGAAGGCACACGGACACACACATAGGAAGCTTCAGATACTGGGCAGAAAGAATCGAGCGCTTTTTGTATGACAATGTCTAATGCTATTTTTCTCCAAGTTCAGCTTCACTGTGATCCTGTCAGATAAGACCATCTTTTAGATATTCTTTTTATAAAGGCCCTGAGGCACCACTTAGGAAAAAAAAATCCTCAGGAACTCAAAAGCTTGTAAATGAGGTAGAGTTAAAAAGGGAAGGAGGTATGACTCACTGAAATAACAATAGATGACAAAAATTAAGCACAATAAGATGTTAGCTCAGGCCTAATCTTCCTCATGCAAAAAAGAAAAAAAGAGAGAGGAAGATTGGCAACAGATGGTAGCTCAGGGCCCATCTTCCTCAGGAAAAAAAGAAAAAAAACTGTGCTATAATTTTAAGTGAAAAATAAAACCAAATCAAAATTCTATGCATTATTGCAAGTATAGCTGTGAATACATATTAAAAATAACCCTTGAAAAAACAGGCGATTTGTAAGCAGGGTAATAATGTGCGGGTTTTTTCATGTTTTTGATTTCTATTCTCTTTTACACTACTATTTGTAAAATGAAGTGACAATAAATAAAAACTGAAAGGAAATTTTAAAAAGGAAATAAACGAGCATGGCACATAAATGGTATTAAATGTCTGCTGTTATTCTTCACCCCTGTCAAGGAAGAGAAAACAGGCGTCCACTTACTGAGATGAGAGAACATGTTAAGCGACAGAAACAAAAATCCAGCTCACCTGAACCTTGATCATTTTCTCCTCCTTTTCCCGGGGAAAGGCAGAGACCTGAGGGGGCAGAACAAGAAAGAGCCATGAGAGAAAGGGAGACGGATCTCTGTGAAATTAGAAAAAGGTGTCCCTCCCCACAGGCAGATGTCGCCACACAGCCCTCTGCCGGATTCCAGCTCCGCCACGTGTCCCGCAGGATGCCCGCCCGCACGCGTGGGAAGGACCACCTGCACAGCGGGGCCCAGCTCCCTGCTCCCAAGGTGCTCATTCTCATCCCAGGAAACGTAGGGAGGGAGAGGCATGGAGGGTACTGGCTCAAAGCGTACTCTGGGGACAAAATTTGTTTTCAAAACCTGGCATTGCTATAGATGTGCTGTACCTCTGCTATAGGTTGGCAGGGCTATATATCTGCTATGTATATTTAACCATAGTTAAGTCCATAAACCTCTCTATGCGTCATTTCTATGATCTGCAACATTAGGATTGTAAGAGTACTGACATTATAAGGTTGTTGTTAGGATTATATATGTGAGTAGCATGGAACTGCTGGAAATACACCAATGTTTCCTATCATCTTGTGGCTGCAGAGAAGCAGGTACTGTTCTATATGACAAAACTGTCCTTGGAAATGTGTCTTGTAAGACATCTGGTGGCAGGGATCATGGCTTCTTACTTAACAATGTGCTGCCCCAGTAATCACTTTTGTTTAGACACTGACACCATTTTAGACTCTGGAAAGTTGAACGGCTGGTGAAGATCCTTCCTGAAGCCGGAGGAGGCGCAAACGGCAGCGCCCTCCTCCCACCTGGATGCGATGAACGATGCATGAAGCCTGCGATGCTACCGTATTGCTCAGATCTCTGTCAAGTGTTGGCTCAGCGCTTGACCCCTGGGAGGGTCTGGAGACCAGGAGTTTAATTTCTTGGGTCCCTCCTCAAGGTTATTTACTGTTCTCAATAGCCATTTACTGTTATTTACCTTATTTACCATTCTCAAGCAACTTCAGTCATCTGTGGAAGAGAAAGAACTCAAAAAGGGCTATTTGTGGGCTGTGAAAAAGGCAGAGCCTTTTAGGACCCCCTTAGAGAGGTCTTCTACCCACTTCTTCCCAAATGCCCGTCCCCATGGGCCACTGCTGTGGACTCCACAGACTGCACGCCCAGCTACCAGGAACGAGCCTTCACCTGGCTGCATGATTAGCAGCGGAAGAGCTGTTTTCTTTCACTCGCGCATTCACGGATCACCTTCTAAAAAGGAGACAGTTCCCAGATCTCAGTTGCTCACAGCCCAGCACGGGAGACCAACTAGGAAATCCGCAATTATACCACACACACACAGATGCCAGAGCAGAGTTTAAACAGCATCCTTTAGGAGAACACGGAAGGGCCCCAAACCCAGACTGGAAGTCAACAGCCAAATGGCGTTCTTTAGAGTAACTGCCTCGTTTAATTGTCACAACAACTCAAGAGGTTGGGATAATTTTGACAGTTGAGAACATTAAAGCATCAAGGTTTTTAAGTTTTTTGCTCGTGATTATCCATTTAGTCAGCAGAGCAGCCAGGGTGACAAGCCCGGAGTCTGTGTCCTTAGTTACTAGGACAGGGGCTCTCTATCTGCCAGCTCCCTGCTATCACTGGGAAGGTTAAAAAAACAATCCCAATGCCCAGATCCCAGTCTGGGATCTAGAAATGAGCATCAGTGAGGAAGAGTTTTTATGAAACCCCTCTCGCCCCAGGTGACGACAGTTTGCAGAGAGGGTTGTAAACCACAGACTATGAGATGAATACAGACGGTCTGTAAGCTGAGCCCACGCAATTAACCACTAGGCCATTCAGCCTCTCAGTGAGTAAAGGAAATGACTGGAGAACACGCAAGCCAGGAGCAGGGCAGGGCCTGGGCCTCAGGCCTTCTGACTCCCAGCTCCCCACCGCTCCCATTACAGGTGCTCCTGGGGCTGTCTCTGGGAGGAAAGGGCAGCACTGTGAGTTGTGGTTATCTCTCCATCCTCAGCATGAAGACCGGCTTCCAGTTTGGACCTGCCCGGTCAGCTTCATCGAGCAATAGGGGTCACTCATCATCCAAGGGACTCTGAGAATTCAGAATATAAGGCACTTCATGTTAAATACACATTTAAATGGCGGTCGCCCTATAGAATGTTCTTGTTTCTTCATATGTTTGACAGAGTTAAAGTCTGACTATGCTCCTTTCTTGGTTAAAACACGTGCATGGCTGCCCAGTGCCTTGGGATGAAGTCCAGATTCTTAGCAAGCCACACAGAGAGGAATCATCTGTGTCTGTTTGCTCATTTTTTCTCCAAAGCCCCTCTTCTCTGTGATCTCCAGCGTGTCAATCACTTGATCTCACAGAAAAGTCTGCAGGCTTTCGCATGTGCTGTTCCTTCTGTCTGTCCCCCTTCCCTTCTTACCCAGACCAGGGGCTGGCAAACTGTTTCTCACAAAGGGACAGACAGCAAATATCTTGGGCTTTGTGGGCCGCACACAATCTCTGACAAATACTGTTCTTTTTTTTTCTTTTTACAACCCTTGAAATGTAAAAACTCTTCGTAGCTGGGGAGGAAGAAGGGATTTGCACAGACCAGCCATGGGCAGCAGTTTGCCCACCTGCGTCCTAGACCCTCTTAGCTTTTAACACTCAGCTTCTGCGTCCCCCGGTCCAGGGTGCCTTTTAACAGGTTGAGCAGCCTCACAAACTCCTAAACCCACTTTGCTGGTCTAATGAAAACAGAGTGCCTTGGCCAAGAGACCAGGCTGTCGAATGAGGCTGCCAGGTTTCAACCCTGATTCTGCCACTCACGGGCAGAATAAACTTGTGCAAGTTAATCAATCTCCCGATGCCTCTCTTTCTTCAACTGTAAAATGGAGATAAAAGCAGGGTTATTATGAGGGATAAATGAGTGAATACATCAAACATTAGCAAGTCAGTGTGGTTCATAATAAGCACCCAACAAATGTTAGCTATTGTTAGTATCATCCTCATTATTGTCACCATGAGATAAATACAGAAGCTATGCATCAGCCTCAGTCTGCTTCTAAGTATATTTATTTTAGGCCAGTAATTATCAGTGCGTATCACCCTTCAGATATTCTGAAAAAGCTGGTGGCTTATGCATCCAACCAAAATTGCTTAAGATAAAGGATGGGGAATATTTACTTCGTTTATTTCTCCCACATCCATTATTGGAAAATCCAAATACAATCCTGCTGAGCTGAAGGACCCTATTTCCTGCGGCCTGTTGGGAAGCTACCCCAACCACAAACAGGGACGGGATAACTCCTCTCTGCCAATCCTTATACTCAGCAACAGGCATCTGAAAACTGACACAGTCCCCACTACACAGAAACATGCAGCCGAGGGAGAGACGGAGCAGAAACATCCGTGAACTCAAAGACAGGTCAACCGAAAGCATTGAAACTGAAGCTCATGAAAATAATGTGCAGTCTGTTGATTTCCACGGCATGTTCTAGAAATGCCAATGAGGTCAAGTTGGTTAACAGTATTGTCCAGGTCTTTTGTATTCTTACTGATTTTCAGTCTACTTGTTTTGTTGACTATGGAGAAACGAGTACCGAAACCTCCATATGCAATTGTGGATTTCTCTGTTTCTTCTTTCAGTTCTGTCAGGTTTTCTTCATATGGCTTGAGGCTCTACCGTTTTGTGAACACACACTTAGGATCACTGTGATGTCTACTTGGTGAACAGACCCTCGGTGTCGCGTCCCTCTTTATCCCTGGTAACAGTCCTTGGTCTGAGGTCTACTTTGTCTGGTATTAATACAGCCACTCTAGTTTTCTTTTGGTTGATGTTTACACGTATACTTTTTTTTTAATCCTTTTAACTTTTCTTTTTTTTTTTTTAAAGATTTTGTTTTTTTTCTTTTTCTCCCCAAAGCCCCCTGGTACATAGCTGTATATTCTTCATTGTGGGTCCTTCTAGTTGTGGCATGTGGGACGCTGCCTCAGCGTGATTTGATGAGCAGTGCCACGTCTGCGCCCAGGATTCAAACCAATGAAACACTGGGCCGCCTGCAGTGGAGCGCGCGAACTTAACCACTCGGCCACGGGGCCGGCCCCTATCCTTTCAACTTTTAATCTATCCATTTTTTTGTATCTAAAGTGGGGTTCTTCTAGGCAGCATGTACTTGCTTCTTATTTTTTAACCAATCTCACAATCTCTTCTAATTGATGTATTCAGACCATTAGTATTTTATGTAATTTTTGATCTGGTTGGATTTAAGTCTATCATTTTATGTTTTTTCCTGTTTGTCCTCCCTAATTTTGTTTCTCTATTCCCCTTTTCTGCCTTGTTTTGGGTTATTTAAAAAAACTTTTTTTTAGTATTCTATTTATTTTAATGCATCTATTAGCTTCCGGCTCTATCTCCTGTTTTATTTTGTTTGTTTCTCCTCTACAGCTGCGATATATATACAGCTCTAATCTTTCGCAATGTACTTAGTGTCGCTATTTTACCATTTCCTATGAAAAGCAGGAGGCTTACCATCAAATAGTTCCCTCAACCCTCCTCTCCTCAACTTCCAGCTGTTGTACGTATTACTCTCTATGCGATGCTCTAGCCAGGAAAGTGATCATTTTTACTTCGCACAGTCATGTATATTTTCAAGAGGAGAAAAACCGTATTTTATATCTACTGAAAAACTTACTATTTCTGTTGCTCTTTCTTCATTTTTGAAGTTTCTGCTTTCCATTTAGTATCATTTCTATTCAGCCTAAAGAACTTCCCTTAGCCTCCTTTTTAGCGTATATGTGACATTTTCCCTGCTTCAATCCTGAAGGGAATTTTCACTGGACAGAGAATTTTGAGTTGACGATTTCTTTCTTTAAGCATCTTAAAGATGTTGTTCCAACATTTTCTGGACTCCATGGTTTCCCATGAGAAATCTGCAGTTATTTATTTTTTTTGAGGAAGATTAGCCCTGAGCTAACATCTGCTGCCAATCCTCCTCTTTTTGCTGAGGAAGACTGGCCCTGAGTAACATCCATGCCCATCTTCCTCCACTCTATATGTGGGATGCCTTCCACAGCATGGCTTGCCAAGCAGTGCCATGTCCACAGCCGGGATCCAAACCAGCGAACCCCAGGCCGCTCAAACTGGAATGTGTGCACTTAACCGCTGTGCCACCAGGCCGGCCCCAATGCTCCTGTTTATGTGCTGCCTTTGGGTCATTTTGTCCTACAGCAGCAGAGCTGTTTAGCTGCAACAGAGAGCATATGTGCACCTCTCATTTCATTGCACTGGTGGTAAACACCACAAATCACAGCAACCCAGTTATGACTGAAGAGCACTTCAACTACCACATGTATTGCTGTACCACAACATTTTAATTTTTCATTACCAGTTCATACTCATCATGTCAAAACAAGAGCAAAACAGACTTTAAATGTTGCATTGGAAGTGTGACACACTTCAAAAAGGCACACTGGAAGTGAAATAATTTTGTTATTGAATTAGACGGCAAAATCTTTTGCTTACTATGTGGTGGCAACACAGCTACCTAAAAGAATATAATATATGTCAACCTTATCAGGCTAAGCACTTACCACAAATATCCTCAGTTCACAGTAAAGCAACGGTCAGAAAAATTAGAAAATCTGAAATCAACTGTCTCGCCAGAGCAGAATTTCTTCACACACAAAAAAAATGAAAACAAGGCTGCAACCAAAGTAAGTTTTGGATATTCAGATATTCAGCTTCTATTTCTGACCCAAGCAAATAAAGTAAGGTACCAATTACGAGTTAAGTAAATCATGTTTGATTGTAGCAGCCAAAGAAGGGTGTCCAGAGAAAATATATTTGTTTAAGATTATTAGACTTTGGGCAAGAACAGTTGCTTGAAGAGCTGAACACAATGGGAACAACATTATAGTCAATTAAAATATAAGAGAAATGATTCTGACAAATTTTATCTGGCTCTTGATAACTCAACATATGTCAGTGATGCTGGGCAGTAGTTGTTTATAAAATGAATCAACGCCAAGTTTGAAGTGACTTAACTGGCCTCTAGGTATAGTCTGAGTGGAACGACTATAGGTGAAAATATTTTCAAAGAAGTTGAAAAGATGCTAATTCAGTATAACATGAAGTGTGATCTGCTGGGATGCGTTCAAACTGATTACAAATTTATAAAGCTTGTAAAAATGTAAGTGTTTAAAGCCTATGGTTATTCATTGTACTATTCATCAGCAGGTATTCTGCAGAAAATATTCTAATATATCACGTGCTATTGGACCAATAGCATCAATAATGAACTCTACTCACTCTCCTGGACTGAGCCATCATCAGTTTCCTGAATTTAGTCAGAAACAGAAGCTGAATATCCTCACTTGCCTCACCACACAGCGTGTCAATGGCTGAGCAGCAGTAAAGTTTTATTGTAATTTTTTTTTTTTTTAATCTCAGGATTTCTGAGTGAAGAAACTGCTCTCAACTGCTATTAGCAAATATTGAATGGCTTTGGAAATCAGTTTTAGCTGCAGACTCGATGATGTTTCTTAATGAATTCAACCTAAAAGTAGGAGGCAAAACAGTATGTATACTGTAGTCAAGCCATTTCAATGACAACTAATTTTGTTTGATTCACAAGTAATGGCAAGCTGCTTTATGAATTTCCAAAGCTGTCAAAAGTTGAAACAAGCAAGATCTCCATTCCCACCAAATTTGTAGTACATTGCAAGTGTCGAAACTCACAGAACTGTACACCAAAAATAACTCCACTGTGTGTAGGTTAAACAATAATTGTTAAAAAACTAAATGAAACTAAATGACAAGCACTTGTCAAACCTTAGAGTGCATACCAATCACCTGAGGTTTCTGTGAAAATGAAGATCCTTGGTCCCTCCCCCTCAAAATTCTAAATAAGTGGGTTTGGGACTGGACTCAAGGATCTGTCTTTGTATAGAGCTCCCGGGTGATAATTCTGCTTGAAAGCAGCCAGAGAAAAACAATGCATCACCTACAGGAGTACAATGATTCGAAGGAACCCAGATTTCTTATCAGAAACCACGGAGGCCAGAAGTAAGTGGCATGATACTTTTATAGTAGTGAGAGAAAAGAACTGTCAATGCAGAAATGTATACTCAGGATATAGTTTAGAAAAATATTCAGGGATGAAGGCAAAATAAAGACATTCTCAGAGAAACTAAGAGAACTCATAGCCAGCAGACTTGCTCTAAAAGGACTGGTAAAGGAAACTCTTTCAAAGGAAATGAGAGAGAAAGAAATATGGATCATCAAGCAACAGAATGGTAAATCTCTGGGAAAATATCATAGATGATTCTTCTCTTGAGTTCTTTACAATCTGTTTTACTGTTGGAAGCAAAAATGATAACAATGGTGGGGTTTTCAAAGTAGCCGCATGCTATATATGACCCTTGGGCATAACGGGAATGTATTATTTTTCTCTGGCTGCTTTCAAGCTTCTCTCCCGTCTCCAGTTTTCAGCAGTTTGATTGTGATCTGTGTGGGCCTGGACTGCTTACAGTTTATCCTGTTTGGGATTTGCTCAACTTCTTAAAAGAAACCTAGAAAGTACATTTAAGATAGCAAAAGAGAAGCAAAGTAGATCCAAATCAAACAAAAGAAAGGAAATAATACAGGTAAAAGTAGAAATCGACAAAATTGAAAACACATATGTAATAGAGAAAATCAATGAAACCCCATAGTTTTCTTACAATAATAAAAACTCTAGCATGTCAAAGAATAAAAGAGATGACAAAAATTAGCAATATCAGGAATGAAGAGGAGATGTCACTACAGACCTGGCAGACATTAAAAGAATGATAAGTGAATACTACGAACAATTCTACACACCTAAATTGGAAAACTCAGATGAAATGGATCAATTTCTTGAAAATTACAAACTACAAAACATACTGAAGATCAAATAGACAACACAAATAGTTATTAAATTAAATTCAGTTAAAAACCTTCCAAATATATAATCCCCAAGTCAAATGATTTCACTGGTTAATTCTACCAAACATTTAACAAAGAAATAACACTAATTCTGTACAATCTCCTCCTGAATACAGAAGAAAAGGGAACACTTTCCAACTCATTTTATCAGGCCAGAATTATTGATACTAGACCAAGACAGGACAAAAAATGAAACTACAGACCAATATCTCTCATGAACATAATTGCAAAAATCCTCAACAAAAATGTCAAATCAAATGATACAGGAAAAGAACAGTACACCACTGACAAGTGAGATTTATGCTGGGAAGGAAAGGCTGCTTCAATCTTTGGAAATTAACCAATCTAATCCACCATGTTAACAGTCTAAAGAATAACACAAAATCATATCAAAAAAGAGAAGCATTTGACAAAATACAACATCCATTTGTGATAAAACTTTCACGAAATGAAAATATAAGGGAACTTATACAATGCTGTCCCCTTCAATTGGGAACAAGGCAGAGAAGTCCATTCTCACCACTCCTATTTGACGTTGTTCTGAAAATCGGCCAATGCAATAAGGCAAGAAAAAAGAAACAAAAGTATACAGATTAGAAAGGAAATAAAACTGACCCTACTTACACACAAAATGTGTGTCTATGTGGAAAATCCTAAGGCATTCACCAAAAACAAAATGTCTAGTGAGTTGAGCACAGTCGCAGAATCCAAGGTTAACACACAAAAGTCATGTGTTGTTCTAATATGCTGGCAATGTACAGTCAGAAACCAAAATTTAAAAACAATACAACTTACAAGAGCTCCAAAAGAATAAATTATATACTTAGGAATAAGTCTAAACAAAACATGTATTAGGATCTGTATGCATAAAACT